TATTTGTTGATTAAAATATTTGAAAATTTAATACAAGGCTCCTACTATATTGTTACACTGACATTTTAAAATTATTAAAAATCCTTAGTCACAGTTTTTTGTTATAAGCATTTAAAGTTAAAATATTGACAAAATACGTAAAAATTACGAAAATATGCAGATTATTTCGAGTTAGAAATTCATAACAATTTTTCTTTTTAAATCTAAGATATCAAAATGTAATACAAGATTTCTCATAAGTTTGTCTACCTTTATAAAAAAAAAAAATGTCTACAAGAAACAAAAATAAAATTTTTATGAACGTATGAAATTCAGATTTTTACAACATTTGATATTCACTAGATTTCTCATGTAACGATTTTCTAATTTTGTCGTAATTAAAAATTAATGACTGTAGATACTTGAAATTGTCACTGAATATGTTTATATTAGCATTTTCTATACTCGATAAAATTTTGAAAATAATTTGACTCTTTTTAAGTCTTTTACGGACATTGTCAGTTATCAATTTTTTTAGTTTTTTTTTCTATAAATATCAATAAAAATAAAAATTGTATTTATTGGGTAAAAAAGCGTGACAATTTAATGCAAGGATCCTGATATATTGTTACAATAGCAGTTGAAAAATATTAAAAATACATACTCACAATTTTTTTTATAAGCATTTAAAGATCGAATTTTGACAAAATTATTTTGGAGGTAAAAATGTATAAAATGTTCAACTTTTATATCCAAGGATTGAAAATTTAAAACAAGATTCCACGTAAGTAGTTAATTCTGTTACCAAAAAATCTAAAAAATACAAAAGGACAGTTTATTCTTATATTAGTTATTTTAAGTTCAACTTTGGACAAAATTACATAAAAAAAAACCTAGAATAACTATTTTAGTTATTTTGTTGTGATTGTGTAATATTATTCCCGGGTACTTGAAACTTCTAAAGTACACTATTATAGTATTATATATCTATGGAGTATGGAATGTGATAGTATCAGGGTTTGTTGTTGACGTATAACGCATTATAAGTAGATACCTAATGAATATTGTGATATGATTAATTTGGAATTTATTATAGGCACCTATTTTAGGTAGATTTTTTTTAATACGATAGATAAGTATATAATATGTCTTATACCTAGACTGACATACCGTCTCCGCTCAGAAATCGCTTTTGAAAACTACTGGGAAGTTTTCACTTTTGACCCCCCAAAGTACGAACTAGATTCACTTTCCTATCAGAAAAGCTACTCTTTAAGAACACTCATCCGAGCTGCACTTTTACTGTCCTAAAACGTGATGACAGACAAAAAAAAAAAAAACACACATCATTGTAAAATCAATACATTCATCGTTTCACTCAGAATCTAAAATGTTCAACTTTTATAGCTAAGGATTAAAAAATTTAAAATAGCGTTCCACCTAAATAGATTATAAATTCTAGTATAATATAATTTATATAAATTACTTTATTCACAATAATATTATCAAACATACTTAGTTATATCATAATATCATTGGTCATAGTCTGACCAATTGACCGTCCTCTCTCATAATCGTTTTTCTTATACATGAATATTATATGTATTTGTATACTGAATGTTTATATTAGCATTACCTATGCATCATACAATTTTGAAAATCTTTTGACTCTTTTTGAGCTGTTTACGGACATTTTCAGTTTCAAATTTTTTTAGTTTTTTTTTTCTATAAATATCAATAAAGTTTATTCTGTTGGGCCAAAAAGTGTAAAAATTGAATACAAGGCTCCTGATATATTGTTACAATATCAGTTGAAAAATATTAAAAATACATTGGCACATTTTTTTTTTTATTAGCATTTAAAGATCGAATTTTGACAAAATTTATCTAATTTAAAATTGAATAATTATTTTGTAGTTAAAAATGTATAACATGTTCAACTTTTATACCTAAGGATTGAAAATTTAAAACAAGATTCCACGTAAGTAGTTAATATTGTTACCAAAAAATCTAAACAAATACATAAGCACAGTTTATTTTTATAGTCATTTTAAGTACAAATTTTTACGAAATTACAAAATAAAAAAACCTAGAATAACTGATTTAGTTATTTTGTTGTGATTGTATAATATTATTCATGGGTACTTGAAACTTCTAAAGTACACTATTATATATCTATGATAGTATCAGGGTTTGTTGTTGACGTATAACGCATTATAAGTACCTAATGTATATTGTGATATGATTAAAAATTGAATACAAGGCTCCTGATATATTGTTACAATAGTAGTTGAAAAATATTAAAAATACATAGGCACAACTTTTTTTTATAAGCATTTAAAGATCGTATTTTGACAAAATTTATCAAAATCTCGAAAATTATCAATCATTGTAATTAATAAATTATAAAATGTTTAGTTTGTATAGCTAAGGATTGCAAATTTAAAACAAAGGTTCTCATAAATAGTTCATACTGTAACCAAAAAAATCTAAAAAATATATGAGCACAGTTATTTTTTACAGACATTTTAAATTCAAATTTGGACGAAATTACATATTAAAAAAGGTGGTTTAAGTGTATGTCGCTCTGCTGTACAGTAGGTTACAAGTGGGTCACTGTATAATGGATGCTATTAAATTTGAATTCAATGATACAATATCAATGTATAAGAAAAACGATTCTGAGCGAAGACGGTACTATGTCAGTCTAGGTTTAAGACAAATTATATACATATCTATGGTATTAAAAAAAAAATTGACCTATAATAAATTCCAAATTAATCATATCACATTATCACAATATCAATTAGGTACTTATAACACGTTATACATCAACATCAATAACAAACCCTGATACTATCATAGATATATAATAGTACACTTTAGAAGTTTCAAGTGGGTACCCAAGAATAATATTATATAATCACAACAAAAAAACCTAGGTTTTTTAAATTTTTGAATTACAACAAAATAAGGAAATCGCTACATGAGAAATCGAGTGAACATCCAATGTTGTAAAAATTTGAATTTCAAACGCTCATAAAAATTAATTTGACTGTCCGGTAGAGATTTTTTATTGATAAAGGTAGACAAACTTATGAGTAATCTTGTATTTTATTTTCAAATCATAGATTTCAAAAAAAAATTTTTTACGAATTCTTAACTCAAAATAATTTGCTAATTTCGTGATTTTTCCATATTTTGTCAATTTTTGAACTTTAAATGCTTATAAAAAAAACTGTGACTAACGATTTTTAATATTTTTCATTTGCCTTTGAAACAATATACTAGGAGCCTTCTATTAAATTTTCAAGTTTTTTCAACCAACAAATACAATTTTATTGATATTTCTAAAAAAAAAACTAAAGAAAAATGAAAAATGAAAATGTCCCTAAACAGTTCAAAATAAATCAAATATTTTGAAAATGTTATCGTGTATAGAAAAGGCAAATATAAACAACCAGTCAAAATTTCATGTTCCTACAGTCATTTGTTTTAAAGTTACACCAAAAACCAAATTCGATTTTGTCAAAAACCGATTTTGCGTAAGGTTCCCGTTTTCCCTTAATTTTTATGTTGTTTTTCCCGGCGCTTGTGAAAACTATTGGGAATTTTAAATTTTGACCTCCCCAATGCACCAACGATATTCACTTTCCAATCGAACAAGATACTGAAGTCGAAAATCGAAGCATTTTTTCGACTACTTATCGTGTACACAGACACAAAAAAAACACACATCGTTGTAAAATCAATACATTCATAGTTTCACTCAGAATCTAAAACCTAGAATAACTATTTTAGTTATTTTGTTGTGATTGAAAATATTATTCGTGGGTACTACTTGAAACTTCTAAAGTATACTATTAGGTATATACCTAATATCTATGATAGTATCACGGTTTTTGTTGATGTATAACGCGTTATAAGTACCTAATTGATATTGTGATATGATTAATTTGGAATTTATTATTATATAGGTACCTATAATATAGGTGAATTTTTTGTTTAATACCATAGATATGTATATAATATGTCTTATACCTAGACTGACATACCGTCTCCGCTCAGAATCGTTTTTCTTATACAATGATATTAGGTATATCATTGAATTCAAATTCAATACAATCCATTACAGTGACCCACTTGTAAGTAGTTACTGTACAGCAGAGCGACACCCACTTGCCCACCTTTTTTTTTTCTTCAATATAGTACGGGAGCCCAGCTTTTATATTTTAAAATTTGGTGACCCGAGGCATATGCCCTTAATGGCTCAATGCCCCCCGTCAAATGCAGCCATAGCATAAACACCATATGCCCATACGGTATGCGGGTGTAACATGTCGTCAGAGAAAATGTTATGCTGCAATTTATTGAATTATTCATTAGTCCTGAAAATAATGCAGTAGAAGTGGAAAGTGGAACTCGTATACTAGTGGTAGGAAATGCACCATCCGTAAATCATAGGTACCCGACCTCGCTATTAAAGTAGCACAACAGTTGTCGGTGTTCGGTTCTAAGTAGTAAATGTAAATACGCGTCCCGACGACATTACCGTTTTACTGCGTAGAAGCGGACAGCAGCAGCTGCATCAGCAGCTGACAGCCTTGATAACGACAACAAACTATGATGATTATGTGATAACGACGTGAAGAAAATAAAAAACAGTCGCAGTAGTAATAATAATAACAATAATATAATATTTGTTGCCATTGTCGCTTAGAAATTTCGCAATGGAATTGAAAATATATTATTTTCGTTCAAAAACATGAAATGTTTCTACACACAAATCGCTGAGTCTCGTTGTGACTTTTTTTCTGCCATCATCTCAGTGTTGCAACAGCCTGTAATTACTATTTTTTTACTTTAAGCTTTTGACGTTTTTCCTCGGACTGTGTGACCATGTATATTATTGTCATCACATTTGAGTAATTTGACTTGCTTCGAAATGACAATATCGACGCATAACCTCTGGACCATTGAACCACTAAACCTTGTTTGACCCGATCGCAAAGATTTCAAAAATGTCAGCAGACTCTCCATGTAAAGCGTCCAAAAACCTGATTGGCAAGATAGTGCTGCCCGGCCCCATTGTCGATCGATCTATCATCGACAGTGTTGCTGGGTTCATTAATGACGTCGTCCCTCATGTAAGTAATTGCTTGGACATTTTCGTGTACCACTAATTTCATTATGTTTATTCTGGTTACCTAATGATTGATAATGTATTTATCTTTTAGGGATATTCTAACATTTTAAATGTAGACAGTAGAGAAAAAATTCTGTGGACGCAATTTGAAACACTAGAAGCTAATGAATTCCCTTCAAACTTTGAGAATGATGAATCGCTCATGTCTGGTGTATCACCAATACTTCTTATTTTGGGTTATGGATTTGGTGTTCAAGTATGATAATTTAATATTAATAATATGTGCATTACGTTTACCTTAAACTATGTTTAATATTATCCTTTCCATTACATACATAAGCATACCTATTTTATTTAATATTTTATAACCTAATAATAATAATTGATAATTTTAACGGTTATGCCAAAATATTTTTTGCTTTAATACATAATTTACATAGTAGATTATTTATTCACACTCCATATTATCTAGGTATTTTATTACTTATACTTTTTTAGTAGGTATATTTGTTTTCATAATTTAAGTGTTGCTTATTCTACTTGAATTTTGAGTTGTTGTGGACTTTAGGCTGTTGTCTTAAAACTTAATTGCTTAAATTAATGCATAATAAATGATATCTACTTTCATTTCTAAAATTTTATCTTCACAATTTATTTCAAATTCAACTTATTTAAATTGGAACCAAAACAATCTGAATTTCATGTTACAATAATAACAGGGTTTCCATATGCTTGGCTTTCTAAATATTTTTGAATTATGCACTACCTAATTAATTATCTATGTTATGTTGTCATGTTGAGAGGTTGTAGATTTCCAGCTAGTGGACAATTATTAAATTTAGAGGAGACAGACAGTTAAAACCCTTGATAAAAATTTTTCCATCTCTCATTTGAGTCAATTGCTGAAGTTAATTGGAACATAATAAATTATAAACTTGAAGTTGAATAACTTGATTATTTTTCAAAATAAAAAAAAATATTATATTTGTGTTAGATATAGGTACAGTATGTAAATTATTAAAGTAATCAAAATGGTTAGGGGGAGGGGGTTTAATTAGACTATCCTTTTAAATTTGATTAACCTTTTAATATGGTATAGGTATTATCCATTCAATTAATTTAATTTGTTAATTTTGTATTCATTAGTTATGTAATGATGTGAAATAATAAATAATAATAAAATTACCTACTAATGGTTAATAATATGCATTCATTAAAAATAATAATTCGTAACATACCTATATTCTGTTTATTTGGTTAGGTTAGATTCACTTTTTACACATTCAATGTAACATATTGACACAATAAATATTTAAATAATACCTATCATTACAATATCAGAACCCAACCTCCTTACTATGTGTGTCGGGTATCCAAAATAATAATATAACATTTAAATTGTTCAGTTCAGTTAACTTCCAGGATCAATTTTGGCTTTTGATAATATTTTTTTAGGCTGTAATTGTGATACATTTTTGAATTAATACAAAATAATAATATTAATAATGTTTAATTTTTTTCCAAAATTTTCATATTAATTTTTTTTATACATTTAAAATTACTTTTCAAGTTATAAAAGTCACAATAACACTGTTTAAAGAAATAATTGAATTTTGTTTCCTTATCTCTATTTATGCAATTGTTCTGGTTGAATTTAGTTCACTAACTACTTAATGTGTGTTTAATTGTGTCTATATTAATTATTAAAATGTAATGAAAAAAATTGCCAATTCATCTAGGCTATCTAAGCTTGAATGATCTACAAATAAATTTTGTGTTCTTAAAATATCTATTAATATTTAATATATTCGGTTAGGCCAAAATATTTTTTCAATTTTTATTATTATTTCTTAAAAACATTAAAATCTTCTTAAACACAAATGTTAATTCAATTTTGTTTATTTTTTAAATTCATCCAAGAAAATATATTTGTTTTTAACTCTACAGTGTGTATTACTTATTGCTTATGAATACAGTTTCAATGTGATGTTTAATTATCATTTTTAACGAGTAAATTAGTATTTAATAAATATATAATTCTTAATTCTATAGTCATAACTCTTTTACTTAAGATTTTTATGTAAGTTAAAACAATGCTTTTACTAAGCTTGAGGTAAATGTTATAAAACATTTTATGATGGAGTATGTATACCTATATTAGACTAATGAGTATAAATATTCTAAATTTATCATTTACTTTAAAGTTTTAATTCAAATTATTATTATAAATTTAAATGGGTCATTAATAGAATTTAAGTCACTATTTATAAATCACTTTTAAAAAATAAATGATAGAAGCTCTCCCAGATACCACAAAAATATTAAGCTAGAAATGCAGAAATTAAAAATACTTAAATACTTGTATTTCTATCAATATGATGAACAAAATTGTGTATACTAATAGTTTTTAATACTACAATTTTAATATTTGAATGTAAGCACCTAGTTTAAGAAATTGAAATAATAAATGTTGCATTTCTTTTAAAAATTGAAATTATTAAAGTTTGTGAATGAATATTTAAATAAATGTGTTTTATTAAATTGATACTAAATTAAATTAATTGTAGAATAAGACTTAATGAACAATTACAATTATTTTAGGTATGGTTTATTGGTGCCAACGGTGAAGCATATGAAGTTTTATCTTGGTCGCAAGGAGTTGTCAAGATTTTAAAATTCATACCTTCACCATTGCCGGAATTGAAATTTCGACAAGATCCATTTGCTCATAAAAGGCCATTAATTGCACTGTGTGATAACTCTGGCGCTGGACCACAGTTTTGTTCTGTCAGTTTTATATCATTAACATGTGGAGATGTGGTATTTAAATATAAATTAATAAATACACATGATCTTTATTTATAAATAGTTAAACTGATGATTTTTTTTAGGTTAAAACAATTAAATTTAAAAATACTGTAGTTGATATTGCTGTAAATAGGTTTGCTATAGCAGTAGTATTTGTAGAACGAATTGCAGTGTTTGATGCCCTCACTGTGGAAGACATAACTACAATTACTACATGTTATCCTAGTCCTGGAATTAAATTAAACCCAATCGCATTGGGAACAAGGTTATTTTAATTTTAATTAATATGTATATAGTATAATTTTTACAAATTAATTTGAAATAACCAATAATAGGTGGTTGGCGTATTCAGATCAAAAGTTGATCTCTTGGAACCGATCTACAGGTGGATATGAGGGCGAGAATGGCCATTCATATACAGCTACGGTTTTACATGCAGCAAAATCATTAAGCCAAAGTTTGAGAGATTTAAGTGGCTCTGTAGCAAATAGTATTACAGGCGTGCACAATTCAAATTCAACTCATAACATATCAGTTGCAAATGACTCTAATCAAATGAATCCAGGAATAATTACCATAATTGATATCAAAGTATGAATTAATAAATCTAACTATTAATAATTGGAAAACCAGCTTTATTAAATTTAACTAATGTTTCATTTTTTTTAGAATAAAGTGTTAAAGGAAAATACCCCACAAGGCCCTGATATTATTGCTCATTTTTCAGCACACTGTGAGGCTATTGTGGCCTTAAATTTTGACCAGTCTGGTCTCATGTTAGTGACTGCTGATAAAAACGGTCATAGATTTAACGTTTTCAAAATACATCCTAGTATATTAGGTTCTTCATTTGCAGCTGTTCATCATTTGTATACGTTACATAGGTACATACTTATTTAATCATGCAACATTTAATTTACTATTATAATTTTTATACTAATTGTAGAGGTGACACAACAGCTAAAATTCAAGATATTCAATTTTCAAGTGATTCAAGATGGGTGGCTGTAAGTTCACTTAGGGGAACAACTCATATATTCCCAATTACACCTTATGGAGGACCTATTGGTCTACGTACCCATTCAACACCACACATTGTAAATAAATTATCAAGGTAATATTTAAAAATATTTTTCAACATCTTGTTTAAATTAAATTTTTGTTGTAAAGAAAAATATTTTGTTTAATCTTGAAATTACTTTTAGGTTTCATCGCAGTGCTGGTTTAGTGACTGATGGTCGAAACAGTCCTGTAATGACTGAATCATTACAGAGTTCTCAAATTGTGTTGCCATACTCTAATCCTTGTGTGGCACCCGTACCACATTCAATTATTGTACATTCATTGTGCCAAATCCGATCACAAAGTAATAAGTTAAAACCTGACGAAACTGGGATAACAACATATATTAGACTGTCTACTTGTTTTTCTCATGGTCGTGTATTGGATACAGCTATGATCAGAGAAATGTCTAACATTACTTATAATCCCAAGAAAAATATTGCAGATTCTCTATATGTGATGACTAGCAATGGCATTCTTACACAATATGATATGTATCCTATGCATTCAAATGGTAAGCAGAAATGTAGTTATATAATAATGTTTAGTTTTACGAATTACAATGACTTCATTGTATAACTGAAGTTTATTAATTTTTATGATTAGCAATATCCAAAGAAAAAATATTTGATGATACAATGATAGAACTAAACATTGAACCAAAAACCGAGTGGAATCTGTACAAACCACCTCTTCATGCATCTACTGTTAACCCCCCATTAAATCGGGGTAACCCGTTGTTAGACCTTTATATAAATTTTCCTGTCACGAACCTGTCAAATATTTCTGAAAAGAATTCTTTAGAAAGCATTGATGAACGTTGGCTATCTCAAGTAATATAAAAAAAAATGAATTATTAATTTTATTTTAGTTAGTATACTATAAAAATAAATTTATAGGTGGAAATAAGTACACATGCAGGCCCACACCGACGCCTTTGGATGGGACCACAATTTGTATTTAAAACTTGTGGTTCTTCATTAGGGTAAATAATTAATTATATTATATTTAACAAATTGTATATTAAATAATTTTACAGGAGATCAGAATCTGATACTCAATTGAGTGAAATTGAAAATGTATCATTGTTATTAAAATCAAATCCTGTTAGTGTTCCACAAAATAATATCAACAGACAGAGCACTCCTGTGTTCATTGAATGCGGCTCAAATAGTATGTATAGTCAAAAACAATTGATTACTTATCATAAAAATATTTACATGCTGCTATGTTATTAATAAATCTTAATTTCATTTGATTATTTATTTTACCCAGATTTAAACTGATGCTATAGTTAACAATGCTTCCTTGATTGATTTATTTTAATAAAGTGACCAATGCAATTATAAATTAAAGTTTGGAGAGCATTAGTTTTAATTGATGAGTCTGTATCATTCTATTCACTAATTTCATCAAAGATTCTATTACAAATTATCAAATATTATAAGTGGCATTTTTTCGATTAAATCTGTTGTTATAATGATTTAAAGAAAGTCTTCATGTAATTTGAAAATTTTTAAATCAACATAACATACTAATAGACACTTGTTTGATACTATTTAGTCTTTACATCCACTGTTTATCTTCAATAACTAAAACATTTTGCGTAATTTATTCTGCATACTATTTTATGAGAACCATCAACTGAACTGCATGAATTAATCATAGCATATTGACTAATAGAACTTTCAGTGTATTTTATACTTATTTCACTATCAAGGAATGTTTATAATAAAATGTCGCCATTAGTCTTATATAAAATACTTTTAAAATTATATTTAAATATATCCATTCAGTAAATATTTGAAACATTTTTCTAATTTTACTTATTTAATTGTATGTCAAGTAGGTAAGATAATTAATCTTAATTAGTTTTTACTTAATCACACATTTTAAATAGTTCACAAACTTAACCAGCACAAATTATTGAACCTTATTAGTCGAGTCAGCCCAATGAATCAACTGTTTAGCTCCTAAACCGGTTTTTATTACAACTTTTTACCATTATAACCCCTTCATGTACTTTGAGCATCAATTTCCATAAATTCTTGGGAACAATAATACAGTCTTGATAGTATATAATACCTTCCTCCACTGTAATATCATCTCTTAGCTTCCAATAATGATAGTTTTGTGTGAAATCATACGTACACAGCTACATAACTAATTTGATTTTTTTATATTGAACCTTATATTTAGTGATTTTGCTCTATATTATGTTTGTATTCTCCAAATTCCCCTTTTTTTTTACCAGATTTGTTAGTTTTCTTAAAAACTTATCAAAAAACTCACCACCCTCTATTTGTATGTTTTTTGAAAGATTTAAACTGTTCTATTACAATTTTTTTTTGTTCATAATTGTTTATTATTGACTCAAAAATCCTAGCCATACTAAGTGGTTGGGATTTGATTTCTGATAGATTTAATAATTCATATGCACAGGGTTGGGCAGTATCTTCGATACAAGTATCTAAGATACGTATCTTAGATACATTTGTATCTTGTATCTTGTATCTCGATACAATTATGTGAAGTATCGAGTATCTTGTATCGCGATACATTTTTAGTCAATGTATCGAGTATTTCATGAATTAATTTAATCGAAAGATACTCGATACATTAATGCGATACTTTGAAAAATTAATTGTTTATGATTATTTTTACTCGTCAGAAACCACTTTTGAAAAGTTAGTGGTGTAATGGTTGTATATAAAATATAATATTATGTTACACACGTACTTTGAATTGGACTTTACGTCTGTAAGACTGTACCTTATTTTTCTACTATGTAATAATACCTACACCTTTCGCATTGTAATCGTATTGTGGTTATTTTTGGTAGAATCGTAGACGATAACAAGATTACGTAATGTCGTAATTGATTTATTTTATTTTGTTTTATTACTAATGTATTATTATTACTGAAAGTGTCAATGTTTTTTATTTTATTTTTCATTCTAATTACTTAATGAAGTGGCCATACCCACAATAATAAACATAATTTTTAAAAATGTATTGATTATCGAGTATCGAGTATCTTGTATCGAGATAGTCCAAAGCCAAGTATCGAGTATCTAGTATCGCGATACTCTAGAGCCAAGTATCGAGTATCTAGTATCTCGATACTCCAAATCCAGGTATCTAGTATCTACTATCTCGATACTGATTTTTGAGTATCTTGCCCATCCCTGCATATGCATCATCTTCATTAAGAAGCACAACTTTCAAAGGCTGTCTTTTAGATTGAAAGTAATTTATTTTTAGTTACAAATTACATTTTTTTTTTAAATAATTGTTTGTTCATGACTATGTATTGCTCATTAATATCAAGCTACATCTGTACAGGTACGGTGTTTAACTTTGCAATATTGTATTAATTGCAGTTAGATGATTAATAAATAATAACATTGATTTATGATAAAACATCAATTAAGTGGTAGTCTGCAACAATAAATAATTTATTAATTAGACCTTATTATCTATCTAGGATAATATTATATATTATATGAATACAATTTTTAGAAACTTATTTGATTAGATTTATTCAGTTTTCAATGACTTTTCAGAAATTAAGGTATAAATATTTTTGTAAATCTTAATTCTTTTATTAGTTTGCTTATACAATGATTTATCGGTTTCAGATAGTTTTGATTATTCACCAAAATTTTTAGACTTAAATCAAGGCGATTCATCTGATGTATCATCTGATCAAGGTGAAATTAAAATATTGGAAGATTTGGCAGAAGCCATGAATGAAAATCTTCAAATTAATAAATCAGGTAATTGTGTTGAAAGTTATGTAGGTATGTATTATCTTTGTGACATTTATTGAATATGATAAATTCTTCAAAATAGTTTTTGGTGACATTTAACTGGAATCTTTAAAATTGTTTTATTTATACATCTTATTTGAACATTATATTTGGATTAAAAGGACTCTTCACTCTTCAAAATAAGACTTTCAATAAAAGAAAATCATGGTATATGTAGTCAATCCAAAATTGATTTCACTAATTCAAATGTAAATTAAAAATATTTTTATAATTATATATTATAATATGCATATTTGATTTTTAAATACATTTTTATTCAATAAACATTAATGATAATGTTTAAATTAAGTTAATTTTTTATGTTGTAATTTATTGTCTTTAATTTTTTAGAACATTCAGAACCCGAGGTAATCGAGGAGAGTGACCAAATTCTAACTCAAATAATGTCTACAAAAAAATGTAAAAAAGCTAAAAAGAAAAAAAACAAGTAATAGCTTAACCCATTCTATTTTTTTAAATTTATATATAACATTTTGAATTTAATCAAGTTACCAATGTTTAAGTCTAAATCATTTCATTTTAAATGAGAACTATATTTTGTGTCCTTTTATTCTTATAATGTAAGTCAGTCATTGCTATTCATTGTACATATAATAATAATTATTATTAGGTTTTCATCATACTTATTATTTTAAGTTAACTTAATCTCTTATTTAATTTTTGTTAAAATGTGTCTATTTTATGTGTACTGAATTGTCAAGTATTTTGATCAAAAATAAATAAAATAAAAATTATATTTTATAATTAATTAAAATATGTAAACTTAAACATTATTTAAATAAAGTTTCATCGATTAATGAATACTAGTAATTACAGTTTACATGCCATTATAATGAATATACAAAAGCAAGTTGTGATGCAGATATTATCATATTAGGATTTGGAGCAGGAGAAATAGAGTAGATCATAATTTTTTTTAATATTGTTAGTTTGATTTTCATAGGCTATACTAATGGTAATTTATTAAACAGTAGCTAATAGATAATTATTTATATCTGTGTTACCAGTACACTATTTGTTTGAACATGGACAAGTTTTATTTTTAGTTATTCTTACAATCAAATATAATGTATGGATTGTATTGTTTTTAAATTAAATCAAGTGTTAAAAATTACAAAATTATACTTAGAATATTAAATTATACCTAGTATAAAATTATTATCATTTATTGGTATATATTTTACTCTACAACTATTCTGACTGTGATTCTTGAAGATGGCGATATTTTAATATCAATAGTCCTCAATAGTCAAATGCTAAATATAACTAAAAACTGCTTGCACAAACATTTAATTTTTAATTATAAGCTGAATTACAAATTTAAAATTTATAGTTTTAATCTACAAGTGTATAGATGGGTATTGCTATATTGGCAGTGTTGTATTTATGGGGAGGCATTAAGTGCACTTGCCACGGGCCCACACAATTTTTAAATAATGAAAAAAATAAAAATTGTAATGTTGTAAGTAAAATATGCATATTGTTATAAATTTTTCATTTTAGATTCAGAGCGAAGCAAAAGAATGTATTGATTTTACGATTTTACAATACCCTTTAAAATAAAGGTGAAAAGTTATAAAAAAATTAAAATACAGTAAAATTATATGTAGGTACATAATATAACATATATACACTATATAAATCATATTATTTTCAATGAATTTATAAAAAGTTATAATGTATGCAATATTTTTGTTTACCTACCTAATATAATATAATAACTAACTCTACTTTATTTTAAACGTTTTTAATAAAAATACAATAAAATAAGGTAAAAATAGAAATATACTATTTTTTTTTATTTCAAATGGCTGACATTAAGAAATGTATCTGAATAAAATGTATTTTGTACACATGTTTTAAAACAAATTTAACATAATAAGTATAATGAATATAATATTATGTATACTTATTTTGTATACCCAACTGATTATATTATAAAGCAATATTTTCATTATATTAATTTAAATAATGTTTTGCTTATACTGTTATCAAATTAAATGTACACAAAATTAATAAATATGACCAGGTAAGTTTTAAGAATGTCATAGGCGAGCACAGACTTCAATTTCCAATCGGACCTGGAACAATTAGAGCCCCAATACTTAGTGCCCCTAATTCTTTTTTTAACAGATTAACTTACATTCTAATATTGTAAATTAATAACATTGTATTATTTATATGTATAAATATAATCAAGTTCAGACAAGTTGTATGTGCACACAAGGTTTAGGTGCTAATTTCTATACAATAAAATTTTAAATTCTTCAAAATTAAATGATATAAATAAAATTATGTATAAAAAGAAGAAAACACATTAATCAAAATTTAAAAAAAAGCTTGGTTTTACAAACAAAAATTTTATACACATATTATATTAATACATAATATATATTATATGTATCTACATATATATTTAGTAACTAATATATAAATGTGTAATTAAAGTAGAGTTATAAATGAATTCTCCTATTTCCAATAATTTTGAATTCGTCAAGCAGTCAATCAATGTTAATACTAGATGTTAGGTCTGACTTCTGGTTCAGTAAAGATTAAGAGGATGTCAGAGCAATATTTTTTTTCTCTCTCAGACTCACGCACAACATAGTTAAAAAGTTTTCACCTAAAATCGTTTTTTTATGGTTTTTGAGCTATCTTAGAGTAAAATCACCCATTTTAAAAATTATAGTGGTTAATAAATCTGAGGGTATAACATATCGATTTTATATTTTATTATTATTTGACTTTGTACTCAATTTTCCAAAAAAAAAAAAATGTAATTTAAATGTCCTTTAAATGTTTTTGAGACAATATTTAGACAAATCAATTTGTCATACTCTCAAAAAAATTATTCTTAATTGTTTTTGTAACGGGTAATTTTACTCTAAGATTACCCGAAAACACAAAAAAAAAAATGATTCTGTGTAAATGTGTACAAAACCTATTTCTACAGAATCTATGGTGCACGTGGGCTAGAGAGAAAAAACAAACAGTACACTGACTTCCTTTTAATAATAAACTACCAAGTCGGTTTGGTGCATAGTACTTCTTAATTTATTTTTTAATACCTATTGTGAATTTTGAAAATAACCTATTTGTAGGAATATTTTGTGACTGGTATTACATTGAATAATTTTAGTACCTACTGAAAAAATCTATTAAATGATTTCATTTAATTATTAGTATTAGTATGTCAGTTTGTGGTTTACCATCGGTAGCTAGGTATGTATAAAACGATGTATATATGTATAACCAACCTATTAATGTCTCCAGTCATAAATTATCATAATACATATTTTGTACACAATATTTTTTTTAGATGAATAAAATTAATGTTGTGGTACACACAAATATTTTAATTTTATTTCACTATCACTAAAAAAAAAAAAAAAAAAAAAACGTTTAAACATATTATTATAGTTAAATTGTTATAATATACATACATTTTATTTTGCCCATAAAAAGATTCAGACACCTATGAAGATTGTCAAAGTTAAATAGTTCATGGCCCCTTTATAAGACAAGGTAAATTGTGATTTGTGAGAATATAGCTATCACTATCGATGTATGTACCTAGTACCTACTGACCATTCTGGTTAGCACAAATACCTATAATATTAAACTTGTTTCAAGTTAATTATTTTTATGGTTGTGAACGTTTCATTTTTAGTCGGTTCCTCTGAAATTTGAAAACTGAACGCTTCGATTTTGTTTTTTTTTTTATGTTTAAGAGTGTAACTTTCACGCCTTTGATACTGTAATATAAAAGCAATAACATTATGGTTAAGAAATGTAGTAAAAATGTATTATAATTATAATAATAATATTTATCTTTTATTAATTTTACATTTTATCGTATTTCTTTACAATTAAAGAATATAGCCTTTGATTTTTAATACAAAAATACCTAGGTATAAGCCATAAAAAAATATATTTTTATTTAAAATCTGTGTACCTACCTACCTTAATATTTTCCGTATTATCGAGGACCGGATTTGCATTACAGCTCCCCGGCCCACCCACCATACCTACCTAACCTGCCTACAGAATAATTTTTTGTATTCATTTAACTTTGAAGCGTTAAAAGGTATAATGATCGTTAAACCATTTATTGGGAGTTAAAGTATCTATTTCATACGTACCAAAATCATTATACAAATACAGGAAATAAGTTTTTAAGGAGTTCATTACGTTTGAAAAGTAGGTGTGCTGTGTTGTGTGCCTATATAATAATTAATATTATCATTGGTGTGCTTGCCACCTATTATAACGCATGACTACACGCACTTGCACATCATGTCAGTGATGTTGATTCCATGTGAAAAATTAATTAAACTTCTAAACTTTAATAGAGTTCGCATCAGTATTAAGCAGAGTTTAACTAAAAGTTTAATAGATACTTAAATTTTAACATTTTAAAAAGTAGAAGTCGTTCTCAACGAAGTAGGTGTGAGAAAGTCATATTTGTTTTCAGAAATATTATCGCTTTACTTAATTAGTTTGATTGTCTTGAATGGAATGTTTTAGTAGGTACAAATTCAGGGCCGTCCCTAGGGCAGGGCGAGCGGGGCCCTCGCCCTGGGCCCCGCGCCTTCACCAGTTGGACAGGCCCCGCTTTTGTAGATAACCATAAAAAAGCCAAGTTAATGAGGAAAAAAAATATTATTTATATATTTTTATATCCTTAATTGCTGAAATTTTTACTACCTATACCTACGGCTATACCTACTTATATTAATTGACATCAGTCGTCAAATAAATGTATTGCATTTAAAACGAGTTAATATGATTAAAATTCAATTTTCAAAGTTTAAAATGATAAAAATCTTCAAAGCGCTCTGTCCCCCCCAAAAAACAACAGCTTAGCTATAATATTTATAGAAAAAAAATGCTTAGATTCTGAGCGGATCGAAAAAATGTATTGATTTTACAATGATGTGTGTTTTTTTTCTGTTTTGTATGACGCTTTTTGGGTAGTAAAAGTGCTCCGATTTTCTAGATCAGCATCTTTACTGATAGACAAGTGAAACTAGTTGGTATTTTTGGGAAGTCAAAATTAAAAATTTCTAGTAGTTTTAGAAAGCGTTGAGAAAAACAAAAAAATAGGTTCCTTATAATTTTCATTAATGGAAGTTTTAAAAATACATAGGCTCAATTATTTGTTATATGCTTATAAAGTTCCAATTTTGACAAAATTCATAAAAGTTTTTTTTTTCATACCTAACTTGAGTCATTTTAATAGGTTTCCAACAAGTTTTTGTAATTCTATCAAACTAAAAAAGTTCCCCAGGAAGCCACGTTTTCGATCTTTGTTAATTTTTTTTTAGCTACTAAATTTGATTATTTTTACAAGTGTGCTAGGCTGATACAATGTCTCCGCTCAGAATATTTTTTCGTTTACAATAATTTATCAATGTAATTTAAATATAACACATCCATTACAACGACATGCTTGACACCCACTGTACAGCAGAGCGGTACCCACTTGTCCACCTTTTTTCATATTGTATTAGGTGCCTACTATATTAAAGACTTATTAATTTATCAATATTATTATATTAAGTATAAATATATTACGTGTTTTGTTATTAATTAATTTACTTATTCATATTATTGTAAGTACAATAGGTACTATATTTTTAAGTATATTTGCGCGTAGGCCCCTTATACCTAGGTAGGTATATATCATAATTCATAATATTAAATATTTAAATAAATGCAACTGCCAACTGACGATAATGACATTTTTGGCCCCACACATTTACTCTGCCCTGGGCCCCGCAAATCGTCCGGACGGCCCTGGGTACAATATACGAAATAATGACTGTTTCCATCGCTTTAATAGCTATAATCATTGATTATACAAAGTTAGTAGGTATCTATTATTCGTAGTTAATATTTTAGATTCTGAGCAGAGCGATAAATTTATTGATTTTACAATGAAGTATGTTTTTTTATTGTTGTCTCTGTCAATACCGTTTGGGGCAGTAACACTGCTTCGATTTTCTTCAACAGTATCTTGTTTGATGGGAAAGGGAATCAAGTTTATGCATTCGGAAGGTCAATTTAAAATTCCCAATAGTACCTATTCAAAAGCGCAGGGGAAAACAACATAACAATTAAGGAAAAACAGATATTTTTACGCAAAATCGGTTTTGACAAAATCGATTTTGGTTTTTGGTGTAACTCTAAAACAAATGACCATTTTATAATTTTAAAATTCTAATTATTTTATAAAAAACATTTTCTATACACGATAGAACTTTATAAAATATTTTAATTTGTTTTGAAATATTTACGGACATTTTCAGTTACAAATGGTATTAGTCTATGAATGTCATTAAAATTTTATTTTTTGGGTAAAAAAGATTGAAAATTTAACACAAGGTTCCTAATATATGCAAATTATTTTGAGTTAGAAATTTATAAACATTTTTCTTTTTAAATTTAAGATTTTAAATGTAATACAAGATTTCTCAAAAGTTTGTCTACATTTGAAAAAAAAAAGTCCATAAGAAAGTAAATTTAATTTTTATAAGCTTTTGAAGTTCAAATTTTTACAAAATTGGATATTCACTGGATTTCTCATATAGCTATTTTCATATTTTGTTGTAGGTCATTCAAAAATCAATGACCGTAGTCCGTAGACTCTTTAAATTTATATCATATGTTTGATTAATTTATAATTTATAATTAATTTATAATTTTATGAAATTGTCCGTAAATAGTTCAAAATAAATTAAAATTTGTATCGTGAATAGAAAATGATAATAAAAATAACCAGTGAAAATTTCACGTATCTGCGTCATTTGTTTTAGAGTAACACCAAAAACCAAAATCGATTTTGTCGAAAACCGATTTTGCGTAAAAAATCCTGTTTTTCCTTAATTTTTATGTTGTTTTTCCCTGCGCTTTTGAAAACTATTGGGAATTTTAAATTTTGACCTCCCTAATGCGCCAACTAGATTCACTTTCTGTTGATGAAATTGAAGCAGTTTTACTTTCCTAAATAGTGATGACAGATACAAAAATTAAAATTAAAAAAAACACATCATTGTAAAATCACTGCATTCATCGTGTTCTGCTCAGAATCTAAAATTTGAATATTTTGATTTTAAATTCAATTCAACAATAAATTTGTATTGCTTATTTAAGCACGTGTGTAAGTGTTTTAAAATTCCAAAAATTAGCAATTATAAAATCAGGGTTCCTCCAACGCACAAATAAATTTGTGGCTACCATACCTTCTGTGTTTATGGTTAATTAATAATTATATATAATTTAGTCATGATTCATACAATTCTAAAAGGTTATTTTTTTTCTGCCCCACAATGTTTTCTCAAAGCAATTAAAATAATTTACCATTGTAAAACTTATGTAACCTGAAGGTATATTATGTACTATAAAAGTCATTGCCATTTGACTTTATCTTAAAACTGATGTTGGTATCTTAGTAGGTATCTAAAGTATTGTATTATGTGAACAATATAATATACTATGTGATTGTCTCTATAATCTAATATTATTATAGGTTGACCGAAACATATGGTTGGGAAATTGGTAAAATTTTATCTTTCATACACTATTTAGTTTCCGTTATGTTCAGTCTGTGTATAGTACAAACGTCGTGAAATAAAAGTGTAAGGTGTTAAAATTTGTAGGCCACAATCATCCTTCTATTTGGTCATTAATTAAGAAAATGAGATTAGAGTTGTCTTCAGATGAAACAAAGTTAGCCCAATTCGTAATAGGCAATTTAAGAAAAAAAAAAAAAATTATGAAAAAATGCAAGAAAAATTGTATAAAATATGTAGTGATGGCTTAACACAGCGGACAATAGACGAATATTTAACAGCTATTGCTTACACAATACGATTATTTTAATTATTTATTATTTTATATTATATTTTTAAATTGTAAATTTTAACTTTTATAAATTATAGTATTCAATTTTAACATTATTATATTATTATTTATTATAAAATGTACAAGTAATTTTGTAGTTGAAAATTCATATGATACTTGATTTAAAATTCGTCTTTTTTATCCGTGTCTTTTTTATCCCATAGCTTTTTTATCAATGGATTTTTTATCCGTGGCTCTTTTGTCCAGGGTCTTTTTATTGGTGGCTTTTTTATCCGGTTACCGCCTATATACCTCTTATGTATTACGTCATTTCATGGATGCTACCGACTTCACAAAAAAATGTACAAGTGTAATTAGTATTTAACTTTTATAAAATAATTTTTACACTAAAATAACATAAAACAATTAGTTTTAAATTAAGTGTCTCTGTCTCATCATATTTTTTGAATAAAATTACAGTATTACCTACACCTAGTTAAATTATTAGAAGTTAAATTTTATGAATTAAAAATGTTTATTTTACTCATGCCGTAGTAGGTACCTCCGCTGGGAGGCATCTACAGTCTGACTAATCTGTCTTTTTATTTTTATTCATTTTTAACCATTAACCATCAATTGTTCTTATTCTTCTTCTTTTTTTTTTGTAACAGATTGAATAAAAACATAATATGAATAATAAAAAAAAAAAATGTTTATTTAGATTTTTTGGTAGCTTCTTTATTTAACACTTAAGAATTAAGATAAATTAAATTGCGATTAAATTGAGAGATTAATATTTAAATAAATATTACTCACGAGTCAAAACCTCTGATTTCTACTTTCCTCAACTTGGTAGCAACGAATAGCTTGTATAAATTCGCTACAAATGTGTAGTAAACATTACCCTTGTACTTGCTCAAGGATTGGTCAACTTCGTTCAACTAAGGAATGTATAAAACGTAACACATATAAATTAAAGATTGAAACCCTAATAATTATGTATAGGTTTCGTTTTTATGGTGCAAAAAAGTTTAAAAAAAAGGAGATAAATGTACAATGTACTTAAGTTACGGTTTCCCTGCAGCGTCAAACAGTGGAACAGCAAGGCCACGTCAAGCGCCGACCTACCTCCAGACCGGTAGTGACGATAGACGCCGCGTCCAGACGCTGCAGGGAAACGTACCTTTACCCGACCTATCAAAACTTAATTTAGGTATCTACCTAAACATTTATAAAAGTTAGATAAAAAAATCTATTATCTATTGTATTACGAAAGTGTGCGGAATCGTGTGTTACCCGCTCATGTCTATGTAATAAGTGACATGAGTAAGGCCCTTAAATATGGTTTGGCAAACAAAGATTATGATCAAATATGTTCAATACAAATGTGGGCAAGTGGGTATCGATTGATGGCTGATGCTGTGCTACCTGTGCAGTAGTTGTCGAGCATGTCATTGTAGTTGATTTGTTAAACTTGAATTCAATGATAAACCATTGCATACAAAAAACGATTCTGAGCAAAGGCGTTGTATCATCCTAGCATATAATTGTATAAATAATTAAATGTAATAGTTAAAAAAAATTAATAAAAATCGAAAATATCTCATGGTTATAAATAGCATAACTTTCCGGTGAACTTATTTTGTTTGTTATAGGTAGAAAATCTTGTGTGGAAATTCTCATTTTTCATCTTACCTATCTATGAAAAGTAAAACGTTTATGAATTTCTAACTGATAAATAATTTGAAAAAATTTTTAAAAATATGGTTATAAATAGCTAAAAAAGAGTCAAAATAGATAACAATTTTACTATGTATGGAAAATACTAATATAAATATGTATTTGAAATACAACAAAATATCAAATGTTGTGATACGGTCTATCTATGAGGTTTCGATTCTTGCAACTAGAGACAACATCTGAAGTGTAACTGTGTAAGACAATATTTTATTATTCATTCATATATTATACCACCTAGTCTACCACAGACCACAGTACCTATTCCGTAATGCACCAAGGTTTGGGCTCAGGGACTTTACGATGGTCATTTTAAACTTGAGGTAGCTGTATATGTGTCGCATCCACTTAGTAAAATCGCTCATTTGTGGATGTCCACTTCATGAAATGAGCAATTTCACTAAGTAGATGCTACAATGCGGCATATACCTAGGTATTATATTAATATTTAATCAGCCCCTCAAAACTAGTGCACAACCATCAGACGGAGTTTGACATCAACAAAATATTACTTTCAAAACATGTTCCATTGATGTTGTCGTCGTGACTAGCATCGAATCCATTTTGTAAATGTGCAAACACAATGTTTCTATTTCGTCTTTCATCGCTGCTAAATTGTTTGTCAAGATCCTTAACTTTCGGTTTTTCCTTTTTAACGTCTGTTTTAGCTGTGCCATCATTGTGTTCATTCTACTGGCTCTATACGCAATACGCTGGTTCCTCTCATTTTTCGTCGATAAATCTTGCACTTGTAAGCTGAGACCTAATTTTTTAGCTTTCACCGCGTCCATGATCTAGGAACAGGTAAAAATATAAATCACAATTCACAGTCAATGCTCACAATAGTTTCATGGTAACCTTGGTACCTAATATTGTCTATGGATATTATCTATGAACATTACCATGGACATTATCTATGGACATTACCATAGACATTATCTATGGACATTATCATGACATTATCTATGTACATTAGCTATGGACACACACACAGACATACATTCATTTTTATATATATAGATTATATAGAATTATATGTTAGGTACATAAATACATAAGTAATAATATAATTATTAATATTATAAAATGCCCACCTGTTTTTGGGCAATGATTATTTTATTCAGACGGCTATTTTCTTTTGTATACATTTTGTTCTCAATTTTCAAATCTAAGTTATCTGATTTCAGCAACGTATATTTTTTATCCATTTTGAACCAACTATCTGAACATTTATTCAACTACAATGATAAAAACAATATCGATTATTAATTAATAATTATGCAAGAAGGTACTTAGGTACCTATACTACGTGCATTTAGCAACTGACATATCAGCCACATTATATATCTAAAAAAAGTACCACCAACTAAATTAACTTTTCTATTAGAAAAGATGCTGATGTCAAAATCGGAGTATTTTATCACTCCAAATGTCGACGACAGACGGAAAAAAACAAAATAAAAAAAGCGGGTAAGTGGAAGTCGTTCTGCTGTACAGTATAGGTAACAAATGTATCACTGCAATGAATGGTGTTAAATTTGAATTAAATTATTTAAAATCATCGAATACGAAAAACGATTAGGAACCAAGATGGTAAAATAAATTTGAAAATTTTCGAGATATTGATCAATTTTGTCAAAATCTGAACTTTAAACAATTATAAAAAAAATCGTACCTGTAGATCTTTAATATTTTTCAACTGCCATTATAACTACTTATGAGGAATCTTGTAATACATTTTCAAGCTTTTTGACCCAAAGATAGAATAAAAAACTAAAAAAATTTTAAATTTTAAATTTATAAATAACTCAAAACGAAAAAAAATTATAAAAATTATAAAATAAACATTTGATGAACTTAATATGATGACCTTTGATTACGTTTTCATAATATTTTAATGAGCAATAATAAAAACCAATAAAACTCAAAATTTTCTTATCCTTATAAATATCTCAAAAAAAATGTTTATGGTACATGGAAATCGCTAAATTATAAATTCTGTGAAAATGTCAAGCATCTAATGTTATTTTTTTTTAGAGTTACAATAAATATCAAAATCCATTTTTTCAAAAACTGGTTTTGAGCAAAAATCTCGGTTTTTCTTTAATTTTTTTTTGCTTTTCCAGCGCTTTTTAAAACAATGAGCATTTTAGATTCTGAGCAATGAATGTATTGATTTTACAATGATGTATGTTGTTTTTTTGTGTCGGTCGTCACCTTTTAGGATAGTAAAAATGCTTAGATTTTCTTCAACAGTATATTTCTGATAGAAAAGTGATTCTAGTTGGTACTTTGGGTCAAAAGTAAAAAAAAATGTTTTGATTTAAAAATTTTCCTTTTTAAATACCTACAAGATTTGAAAATATAATACAAAAGTTTGTTGTATTTTTTTATGTTTTGTTTTCATAAGTTTGTTTACCTTTATCAACAAAAAAAAGTTCAAATTTTTAGATTCTGAGTGAAACGATGAATGTATTGATTTTACAATGATGTGTGTTTTTTTATTTTTTTTTTATTTTTGTGTCTGTCATCACGTTTTAGGACAGTAAAAGTGCTTGGATTTTCTTCATCAGTAGCTTTTCTGATAGGAAAGTGAATCTAGTTGGTACTTTGGGGGGTCAAAAGTATAAATTTCCCAGTAGTTTTCACAAGCGCCGGGAAAAACAACATAAAAATTAAGGAAAAACGGGAATTTTTACGCAAAATTGGTTTTCCAAAAAATCGATTTTGGTTTTTGGTGTAACTCTAAAACAAATGAACGTATATACATGAAATTTTCACTGGTTGTTTATATTTGCATTTTCTATACACGATAACATTTTCAAAATATTTTGATTTATTTTGAACTGTTTAGGGACATTTTCATTTTTCATTTTTTTTTAGTTTTTTTTCTAGAAATATCAATAAAATTTTATTTGTTGGTTGCGAAAGCTTGAAAATTTAATAGAAGGCTCCTAATATGTTGTTTCAAAGGCAGATGAAAAATATTAAAAATCCTTAGTCACAATTTTTTTTTATAAGCACTTAAAGTTCAAAAATTGACAAAATATGGAAAAATCACGAAAATTAGCAAATTATTTTGAGTTAAGAATTCGTAAAAATTTTTCTTTTTAAATCTAAGATTTGGAAATTTAACACAAGATTCCTTATAAGATTATCTACCTTTATAAATAAAAAAATCTCTACCGGACAGTCAAATTAAATTTTTATGAGCGTTTGAAATTCAAATTTTTACAACATTGGATTTTCACTCGATTTCTCATGTAGCGATTTCCTTAGTTTGTTGTAATTCAAAAACGAATAACTGTAGATACATGAAAATTTCACTGAATGTTTATATTAGCATTTCATATACACCATACAATTTTGAAAATATTTTGACTCTTTTTGAGCTGTTTATGGACATTTACAGCTTTCAATTTTTTTTAGTTTTTTTTTCTATAAATATCAATAAAGTTTTATCTGTTGGGCCAAAAAGTGTAAAAATTTAATACAAGGCTCCTGATAAATTGTTACAATATCAGTTGAAAAATATTAAAAATACATAGGCACGATTTTTTTTTATAAGCATTTAAAGTTGGAATTTTGACAAAATTTATCAAAATCTCGAAAATTATCAATCGTTGGAATTAAAAAATTATAAAATGTTCAGTTTTTATAGCTAAGAGTTGAAAATTTAAAACAAAGATTCTCTTAAATAATTCATACTGTAACCAAAAAATCTAAAAAATATATAAACACACTTATTTTTTACAGACATTTTAATTTCAAATTTAGACAAAATTTCATATTTAAACCAAGAATTACGATTTTAGTTATTTTGTTGTGATTGAATAATACTATTCGTGGGTACTTGAAACTTCTAAAGTGTACTATTATATATCTATGATAGTATCACGGTTTTTGTTGATGTATAACGCGTTATAAGTATCTAATGGATATTGTGATATGATTAATTTGGAATTTATTATAGGTACCTATTATCAGGGTTGGGCAGTATCTTCGATACAAGTATCTAAGATACGTATCTTAGATACATTTGTATCTTGTATCTTGTATCTCGATACAATTATGTGGAGTATCGAGTATCTTGTATCGCGATACATTTTTAGTCAATGTATCGAGTATTTCATAAATTAATTTAATCGAAAGATACTCGATACAATAATGCGATACTTTGAAAAATTAATTGTTTACGATTATTTTTACTCGTCAGAAACCACTTTTGAAAAGTGACTAATGTATTATTATTACTGAAAGTGTCCATCGGCGTAACTAGGGGGGCTTAGCCCCCCTGCAGAAGTATTTAGCCCCCCTAGAAGGTTTTACATTTTAGCCTCAAATCGAGCCTATAGCTAAAACCCAAATCCGAAAAAATAAGAAAAAAAATGTTTAAAATAACTCATATGTCATAACTCATAATAGTCATAAATCATAATTAATAAATATTTTATACATATTGATATTGTTTTATTGTGGATGTACAAAACAAATTTATAAGTAATTGGTTACCTATAGTTATAGCGGAAGAAATTGTCTTGACGTATTTAAATCAAAAGCAAGTAGTGCTAAGAAAAATAATAATGATGCACCAAAAAACTATGACCCAAAACAGATTTAGTGATCTGGCTATCGCTATGTTTAATATAGAAAGATAACTATCTAATGTAATAAACGATGATGATATTTTAAAACTATTTTCATCAAAATATAGGCGTATACAGTTATAAATTTTAATGTAAATTTGTTTTTATTGACTAGGTTATACTTTGATTCTATGGTTTATTTTAAATTTTGATTTTAGAGGACTCTTGTGATTACTAAATGCTAGGGATGCTTAGAGGGGGTGTGGGGGCAAAGCCCCCCACAAATTATCTTGGACTTGGGTTTTCTAGGACTCTAGCCCCTGTAGCTATTAAATCCTAGTTAAGCCCATGAAAGTGTCAATATTTTTTATTTTATTTTTCATTCTAATTACTTAATGAATTATCCATACCCACAATAATAAACATAATTTTTAAAAATCCAGTGACTAATTTTATTAAAATGTATTGAGTATCGAGTATCGAGTATCTTGTATCGCGATAGTCCAAAGCCAAGTATCGAGTATCTAGTATCGCGATACTCTAGAGCCAAGTATCGAGTATCTAGTATCTCGATACTCCAAATCCAGGTATCTAGTATCTACTATCTCGATACTGATTTTTGAGTATCTTGCCCATCCCTGCCTATTATAGGTCAATTTTTTGTTTAATACCATAGATATGTATATAATATGTCTTAAACATAGACTGACATACCGTCTCCGCTCAGAATCGTTTTTCTTATACAATGATATTATATCGTTGAATTCAAATTTAATATCATCCATTATACAGTGACCCACTTGTAACCTACTGTACAGCAGAGCGACACCCACTTGCCCACCTTTTTTCAATATTGGATATTCACTCAATTTCTCAAGTAGCAATTTTCTTATTTAGTTGTAATTCAAAAACGAATTACTGTAGAGACATGCAATTTATATCATACGTTAAATTTATAAATTCTTATAATTGATAAAATATTTGACTGTTTTCGAGCTGTTAAAGGACATTTTTAATTTTCAATTTTTTTAGTTTTTTTTTAAAAAAAAAATATTAATAATATTATATTTGTTCCTGATATATTTTTGCAATAGTTGTTTAAAAATATTAAAGATACATACATTAGGCACAATTTTTTTTATAAGCATTTAAAGTTTGATTGTTGACAAAGTTTATACAATTTTAGTTTTAATAATTATTTTGTA